AATCTGTCTAAATGGTATCCTTTCTGAAATAAATGATAAAGTGGAAGTCAGATATATTTGCATTTTCAGGTTTTGTCATCTCTGTTATCATTCTTTATCCCTGGTGTTATTGTTGTTTACTTATATGTAAAAATATTTCTGAAACTACGAAGTCATCGGTTTTATCTATTTGGGCAATTAAGTTTACTCAGACGACAACAAAAAAGTAATTCAATTGTAGGAAATGATGAAAATCGTTGCTTGCCAAGAGTTATTATTGAAGAAGTATGCAAATTTTTTTTTCCTGAATTTAATTTATTTGCATAAATTAATAAAATAAAAAATTGGCGAGTAGTATTAGTAGGTTTACGTTAGTATTTAAGTATGAAATAGAGATACTAAGTAGTAGTATTAATATTTTTCATAGCAACTAGAAGTCACTTTTGATTGTAAAATATTTTAAAAGATAATTAGCATTTAAGGTACGTAGCTCACGTTTGAGTCAAAATGGTAGTAATAATAATAGCAGTGATCATTCTTTAAATACAACGTCAAGTCTAAAGTTTCAACGATCATCAAGTCAACCTGATGCTCATCCTGATATTATTGAAAGAAGGTATGAACGTATGCATATATAATATTTTTTAGCGCAAAACTTTATAGCATTATTGAATTTGTTATTAAAGTTTTTACCTGATTATGTAAATTAAAAAATATTTGATGCTAAAGAAATATTATTATTTAATAAAATTAATAAAGATATTAATTTTGTTAAAATTAATAACTTTATTAATTTCATTAATTAACTAATAGGTAAATTAGATCATAAACATTAAATTATTGATAAAAATTAGTAAACATAAAATCATTAACAATTAATGATTTTATATAAAATTTTTAATATGGTCATTTTAATTTATGCAAATTAATAAGAATTAAAATAATTTCATATAATTATTAATCTGCTGTTAATCCATATTTTTCTTTAGTAATTATTATTCTGTCAATTATAGACTTTCCTTTATTTAGGAAATTTTTTTTTGGTGGGAAAAAATTGTACCAAAAATAAAGAAAAAATTTAACATTGAAATAGCATAGAAATATTTTTAATATTTTTTCTTGGACAAATTTTGTTTCAGAAAAGAGTAGATAATTGTGTTTTCAAATAAATTTTTGCATATAACGTAATAATAAAATTTGCTTATTATTTGTACAACTTTGATAATAACACATTTC